GGGCACGAAGCTCTCTACTGCGGGTCTGTGCCGCCGTCTTGATGGCGATCTGGGTGATGTGGCGGGCATGTCCTCTCCGGTTGCGGTGCGGTCCTCTCCGATCCGGTCTCCTTCTTCTACGGCTCGCAAGAGCGGGCGGATCCGGGACAGTGGCATGAGGGTGGTCGACAAGGCGCCTCGGCGCGCGGCGGCTCGGGACCTCCCCGCTTCAGGTACCCCTCCCTCCCCTGCTCAGTTGGTTCATATTTCCTCCTCACCTACTAGGCTTGTTCTACCCTCCCTCTCGGATGATCACTTGTCTAAGGTACTCGCAGACGCGAGCATTTCTCTAGATCACAACCACGGCTCTCCCTCCTCTCTGATTGCTCTTATTAGGGCTAATGAAGTGGCTCATGCGGCTTTGGCTAAGGCTAAGGAAGTGGCTGCTACTCCTTCTGCCCCTCCAGTTGTGGCTGGTGGGGTTTCGGAGGCAGTAGCCGTTGGTGATGGGGTTGGGACCCAGGTGAAAAAGGGGGCTTCTAAACGTGCTAAATCCTGCTTGGCTCCCTGCAGGTCGAGTTTGCGCATCAAAAACCTCTCTTATAAATGAAAGCCCTCTTCTGGAACATCAAAGGTTTCGGCGCTCGGGGACGCCGAGACCAAATTAAAGATTTGGTCAGGGGGAATAATATCGACCTGATTGGCTTGATTGAAACCTTTAGAGCCTCCTTCTCTCCTCATGAGCTCTCTTCTATCGCGGAGGTGGATCGGTTTGATTGGAACTTCTTGCCCTCCTCGGGCCATTCTGGTGGCATTCTGCTAGGTTCGAAACGGGATGTTTTTGATTTTGTTGCTTTTGATCATGGTATCTTTTGGGCTAGCATTGTGCTTTTCCATCGTCAACTTAATGCTCTCTGGGAATTTATGGTCGTGTATGCCCGGCCGATCATTCCCTCTCTCCCATCTTTTTGGACGAAATTTCCATTAAAGTAGAAGCCTGCTCGCTCCCCTTGGTGATTGGTGGTGATTTCAACTTGCTACGCTGTCCCACGGACAAGAACACTAGTAATTTCTCCTGGGCCCTGGCTGACGCTTTCAATGACTTCATTAGCTCTTGTGCTTTCCGTGAGATCCCTAGGGTGGGATCTAGGTTCACTTGGACTAACCACCAACCTTCCCCTATCCGTTCCGTCCTAGACCGCGTTCTTGTTTGCTCGAATTGGGATGCTCTTTTCCTGCTCGCGACGCTTAAGTCTAAGGCTATTGTGGGTTCGGATCATGCCCCTCTGATCCTCGACGCTGGAAATCAATCTACTTCCTCGCCTTCTAGATTTCAGTTTGATGCCTCTTGGCTCCATATTGAGGGTTTTTGTGACCTCCTGGGGTCTAAAATCAACTCTCTCTGCTCCTCATCGTTCCTTTGGACCCATGGATGATTGGCATTTCTGTTCGGCCTCGCTTCGCAAATTTCTTCGGGGATGGTCCCGGAACTATTCGGCCCAGGAACGCAGGGAGAAGGCCCTTCTTTTGTCTGAGATTGAGGTCCTTGATGCTCGGGCGGATGCTTCTGGCCTTTCTGATTCTGACTGGTCCCTCAGGTTCTCCCTTGAACGTGCGTTGATGCACTTGCATCAGCTTAACGAGATTTACCGGCGCCAGAGGGGCGCGTCCAATTGGCTCCTTAAAGGGGATTCTCCCTCCACTTATTTTTTTGCGATTGCGAATGGGAGACGGCGCAGATGTCTAATTGATAGCTTGATTATTGATGGGGTACGTTCTTCTGACCAGGGCGTCATTCTCAACCACGTGGTCTCCTTATTCTCTTCCCTTCTCTCTGCCAAGCCTGACCAGGGTTTTAGGCTTGCTGCTAACTTTTGGAACCAGGAATCCCTGGTCTCTCAGGACGAAAATTCGGACTTGATGATCCCCTATTCGGAAGAGGAAATTTTCTCTGCTATTTTGAAGGCCAACCCCAATTCTGCCTCTGGCCCTGATGGGTTTTCTATCCCCTTCTTTAAAAAGTTCTGGCCTATTGTTAAAAATCTTATCTGCCAAGTTATTCAAGGTTACTGCCTGGGCACGGTTGATATCTCCAGGCTGAATTACGCGGTTATCTCCCTTATTCCCAAGATTAAGGGTGTTGACTTAATTACCCAGTTTAGACCTATCGCTCTTATTAATAACTTTGCCAAGTTCCCTGCCAAATGTCTGGCCACTCGCCTTACCCCAGTGGCCCATCGCACCCTTTCTCATACTCAGTCGGCTTTTATCAAGGGGCGCTTCATCTTGGACGGAGTTCTCTGTCTTCATGAAGTCGTTCATGATATTCACAAATCTGGGAACAAGGCAGTTATACTCAAATTAGATTTTGAAAAGGCCTACGATTCGGTTAATTAGGGTTTCCTGAGACAAGTTCTCCTTGCAAAAGGGTTTGACAGTGGGGTGGTGCACCGTATCATGCAGTTGGTCATGGGGGCCACAATGCTATTAATTTTAATGGGCATATTAGTAACTTCTTTAAAAACTCTAGGGGCCTGCGCCAAGGCGACCCAGCCTCGCCCATCCTTTTTAACTTCGTTGTGGACGCCCTCTCTAACATCCTATCTAGAGCCGCGGAGGCCGGTCATCCCCTGTTAGTTCCCACCTCATTCCGGAAGGCATTACACATCTTCAGTATGCTGACGATACTATCATCTTGGTGGAACTTAATGATCTTTGCATCGGCAATCTCAAGTTTCTTCTCCTCTGTTTCGAAGCTCTTTCGGGGCTTAAGATTAATTTCTCTAAAAGCGAAGTTATTGTCACGGGTGTCTCTACCGTCGAAGCCCTTAGGGTGGCTCGCTTACTTAACTGCTCTCTAGGGTCTTTTCCTATTAAGTACTTGGGTCTGCCTATCACCTCTGACAAGCTCTATGCTAAGGATTTTGCTTCTGTGGTGACTAAGGTCGGGAATCGTCTGATGCCCTGGAGGGGCAGATATAATACTCAGGCAGGCAAAGTGGCCTTAATTAATGTCTGCCTCTCCTCCCTCCCTATGTTCCTGATGGGGTTCTACCTCCTTTCTATGGGCACTCATGCTGGTTTTGACAAACATAGAGGGGCCTTTTATTGGAACGCGGCAGATAACAAGCGTAAGTATCGCTTGGTTAAATGGGACACCATATGTAAGCCCAAAAGCCTTGGGGGGCTGGGCATCATTAACACCCTGGTTATGAACAAATGCCTGATCATCAAATGGTGGTGGAAGATCATGCACATCACCGAGGACAAGCCTTTGTGGTTCAGCATCTTAAAGGCGAAGTATTTCCCATCCTGCAGCCCTATGTTTGCTCGTGCATCTGTGGCTTCTCAATTTTGGCGCGATCTTGTTAAACTTCGGCCTACCTTTCAAGGCCTTGTCAAGTTTGTCGTTGGCAATGGGAAATCTACTAGGTTCTGGCTTGATTGGTGGTGCGGGGCCTTCCCGCTGGCCTCTTCTTTCCCTGTTCTATACTCTTACTGTCCAAACCCCCAGATTTCTATTTCTGAGCTTGCGTCGAATAATTGGCACCTTCAGCTGCGTCGCTCTCTCTCTCTCTCTCTCTCTCTCTCTCTCCTGTAGAGTTGGAAGATTGGTAGCGTCTTGCTGCCCTCTTCCCTCCGCTCTCGGAGGAGGAAGACTCAGTTGTGTGGCCCCATTCCCCCTCTGGCCGCTTCTCGGTTAAATCCTTGTATAGCAAACTTATTGAGGGATCCTGAACCTCCAAATTTAAGTGGATTTGGAAAGCCCGCGTTCCCCCTAAGATTAAGGTGTTTCTCTGGCAAGCCTCTCGTGGGCGCCTTCCTACGGGTGACCAAATCCGTAAACGTAATGGTCCGGGCTCTGATTGCTGTGTTCTTTGTGGGACGAGAGAAGACACTCCTCATATTTTTTTAACTGCGTCCTGGCTAAGCTGTTTTGGTGCTGTATCAGATCTTGGATGCATGTCTCCTGGGCCCCGACCTCCTTTGCGGACTTACGAGCCTTGGCTAATTCTTTGGTTGGGGCCCAAAGGAGACTGTTTTGGGTCGGCTTTGCTGCCATGTGTTGGTCCCTATGGACGACAAGGAATAAATTCACTATCGAACATGTTTTTCCTGCTAAGCCTGCTGATTGCTTATTTAAGACTTGTATATTCCTGCAGCAGTGGAGATTATTGACTAAGGAGGAGGACCAGGATGCATTTGACGCCATGTTGGCCAAGATCCGAAATTCTGCTATCTCCATCCTTCCAAACCAAGCGGGCACGTAGACGTCGTTGCGTTGCTTTGTTGTCCTATCCTCTTCCGGCCTGCGTGCCGTGTACTGGCCCGAGAGCCATGTACGTAGACTTCCTTCTTCGTTTTCTGGCTTGATACTCCGGCTTTTGTGTGGTGGTTGTCTGGGACCTTGTTAACTCTGCCTGATGGCTTTATCTATAAAGTCGGGTTATGGCCTTTTATCTAAAAAAAAACACATGACATCCTTTTTCTTGAGGAGGGCATACCTCATGCCTTTGCATCTATTGATGCACATGGCCTTCAAATAATATGTGTATCCGTTCAAACTTGGTTTCGAAGCTGCATTGCATAAGATAACTTCAAAGCCGGTCCAACCAGACCCTAGGGGGCAATCGCCCCCCACCTCCAGTCCTAGGGGCCAACTTCAAAGGAGGCAGTCCTTGTCTGACTCCTTCGTTTATCACCTCAAATCCAACCGCGTATTCATCTCAACTGAGACACCAACAACGAACTTCATCAGCGCAATCGAAGCAGACCGTCGATACGCCTCCTAGATTTATAACGCCTTATATTTTTCATGTACTCTTCAAAACTCCATTCATCGCACAAGAAAAGACGCGCCGATAACTATTTTTATTATTTTGATACAAAAATAAAGATTGTAATCACAAAAAACTGTAGGCATCAAACCACCCTTTCCACCTCTAAGACAACAATATATACATGGAAATCTGTATGCCATTTGTGCAGTACCACTTAAGTTACAACAATAGCATCCATGTTCACATGGGCAACAGGTATTGAAACTCATAATCATATGGGATCACCTCCACGACGTCTTCGACCTTAAGGTGGCCCTGGTGTCCCCTCAAGCAGTCCACCATGGATTTCCTGAGCGACCAAGATGTGGGGAGCTGGTCACAGATCCACCGGAGCAGCGACTCCATGTCCTTGGCGTAGTCGTGCATGTTGGAGTGTATCAGGTCCGGGATCATCAGCCTCCTCGTCGAGGTCACCACCAGTGAAGCCTGCAGGTAGTCCACCTTCGCCTTCTCCAGATCCATCATCACACGGTCGGCCTTGTATATCCTCAGCTGCAACTCACAATATGTGCATGTACAATACAAAATTCAGATTTCACTGGTGGTAAATCTGGTAGAAATTTCAAGCATTCAAGGAGGAGGGTAAACATGCGTGGTAATTCAGGGGTATAGTCATTCATTCATTTGGAGGTTTAGGACTGCATGGACTTACCGCTGGCGAAGATCTGGTGCCGCAGCACATCGCGAACAGAATGTTTGGTTCCGAACTATTCAATCCGTAGAGACCCCTCACCTTCTGTTCTTCGACATCGACATCGCACTTCCAGAATTCCTGCGGCGTTTGTTTACTCATGAGAATAACACAGTCTTGTTGTGCAGTGGCACATCGCAAAAGGAAGGTTTATGCAACTTGCAACTGAAAGCTAAATAAAGTCTGCAAAATGCTCACTTCTTTCACACTCGATGGCTGCCTCAAGACGAAATTTTCAATCACGAGAGCATTGAACTTCTGCCCTGAAACATTGATGGTTGCCTGAAAGTGAAACAAACCATAAATGTTACACTTTCTTTACACAACTACTCCCTCCGTTCCGAATTACTTGTCGCACATATGGATGTATCTAGATGTATTTTAGTTCTAGATACATCCATTTCAGCAACGAGTAATTTGGAACGGATGGAGTAGAAAAAATAAAGAATAAACATAATGTTTGTCGAAACAGACTAGTGTACCTTGTTCTTGAGTGCCAGCAACTTTTCAGAGTTTGAGGGCAAACCATGCTGCAGGATTCCCTGCAGAATTATTCAAAACACAAACAATTTTCCATCACTAAATGGCAGATACCAAAACCTCTACCTCGAAGAAATGTGACAAAGGTAAAAAAGAAAGAACATACGTGCATGATGCATGTGTTGTAAATGTTGAGCCAAAATGCCAGCTTCTGCTGGTGCGTCAAAAACCTCAAATCCACCTGCTGCAAGGCCTCCAACATCTCCCTAGGATCACACATTTCATCCAAAAAATATGTATAACCACTAAAATCAAAAATTAACACAAGCAGTAAATTTGGATGAACATTTAAATGTAAGATTGTTATTTACCTAAGTTTGGTGAGCAGAGGGGAGCTTGAGAACCCTCTGAGGTCGAAAGCACTCGATGTGAACCTGACGAGGTTCTTGTAGGGGCCGATGTCCCGGAGCACCGAGTCCGGCAACCCGAAGATGCCGTAGTGGTCCTGTTGGCCCCTCTGATCCTTCTCCTTGGCCGCCGCCACGTTCAGAACCGCGTCGATCCGGAAGCTCCCCTGCAGGTTCCCGGACCTGGCCAGGTTGCCGGACTTCTCCATCTCCGCCACCCGCGACGACCGGAGCAGCCTGATGAAGATCACCGCCAGGCACTTGACGATCCTCTCCGACAGCTTGTTTGGTTGCACCTTGGCCTGCTCGTCCCTCTTCGTCGTCGGCGATGGCACCGGAGATGCTTCTTGGGAGACTCTTGGAGGTTTTTGGGGTGCTCGGTCGGATTGCTTTTGGAAAAACAGAGCATGAGCAGAGCAACGCACAGACAAAATGGTTCTTCGTTCAGTTTTGGTTGGTGGTTACCTTTTCAAGGGAGTTTCTTGGCGGGAGGCCAAAGATGTTACCGTTGAGCTTGGGGCTGACGGCGGCGGCTCCCGAGGAGCCTCTGGCCTGCTCTCTAGGGCTCTTGGCCGGCTTGTCGTCGGTGGCCGCGGCGGCAAGGTGGCGCTGGAGGTACTCGGCGTTCATGGCCTGGCTGATGAAGAACATGGACTTTATCTCCGGCGCCACCTGATCCGAGGCTTGACGAGCCAACGTCGGTGCCGTGTGCGTGGGCGTGCTGTTACCTGTCGTAGCTCCTCCATTGACCTTGATGTTGCCATGACGGGCCGACGCCGGAGCTGAGTGTGCCGTTGTGCCGTTACCCGGTGTAGCTGCTTCTCCATTGCTGAAACGACCATTGCCACTGCCATTGTTGGTGTAGACACTTGGTGGGTTGCCATTGCCGCTGCCATTGTTGGTGTAGACACTTGCCGGGTACGAGTACGTGTTGGAGGCCATTGCAACTGATGCTCGCTGGTGCTGTGAGAGGGTCAGGCTGCCCTTCATGGTGTGTATCTGGGACTCGAGGCGCACGATCTCCTCCTCGACGAGCACGAGCTCGGCGAGCAGCTGCTTGGCCTTTGCCGGGATGAAGGCTGGGATGTTGAGGAGCACGGAGCGCGCCGAGGTTGATGAATTAGTCGGGGCGTGCAGGGCGCGCTCGAGGATGTGGTGCACCATCTGTTCGTTGCTCAGCTGCTGCTTCAGCTCCGCCACCTGCACCCACGTACTCCATTGCATTTTCAGTCTCCAAACTTCAATTTGTTCATGGAAGTGCATTGCAGAATATAAATTGCATGTTGTAATTTATATTTCACGAAAGAAAGAATAATCGGCATTACCTCTTGCTCAAGATCCTTGCGCCTCTGGCTCTGCTGTTGTTGCACCTGCATACCGATGCCGTTGCCGTTGCTGTTGCCGATGCCTGCCGTTGTCGGCTGCAACTGAACGTTTACATTGGTTCAGCATTAGAAGAAGCAGAGCGGGCATAGACGCATGATAAAAGTTGTTTTTTGTCTTTGACAAAACAACATGGTATATTCAGAAAAGTTGTTGTAATTTATACTCCCTCCGTTTCGAAATATAAGTCTTTTTAGAGGTTCCAACAAGTGACCACATACGGAGCAAAATGAGTGAATCTACACTTTAAAATATGTCTACATGCATCCGTATGTCGTAGTCCATTTGAAATGTCTAAAAAGACTTATATTTAGAAACGGAGGGAGTATTTTATACAAGAAAGAATAACCGGTAGTACCTCTTGCTCAAGACCCATGCGCCTCTGGCTCTGCTGTTGTTGCACCGGCAGCCCATTGCTGTTGCCGTTGACGATTCCTGCCGTCGTCGGCTGCAACTGAACGTTCACATTGGTTCAGCACCAGAAGAAGCAGAGCGGGCATGGTAAAAGTTGTTTCTCACTTTCTCTTTTTTGAAAAAGAGGACAAGGTAAATTTGGGCCGCATTGATGCATTGATGGGCTAATGTGAGTGGGTCTGGCCCATGTTGATATAATTTTTGCCATCTATGGGCCGCTAGATGGTCCAGCCGAGTTTAATAATTTGCAAGGCATTGTCCATTAAAAGAGGAACTGAACTTGCCGATCCCAATTGAATTGAATTGAATCTCTATCGAGCCGTGAAAAAGATTCAACAAAAGACAGAAACAAATCCATTATTGGTTTTACGTCAAGCAATACGTAGAGAATGCAGATGATGGATAGAAAAGGAAACGAAACCACCTGACTGACACACTAGCATGGATGCACCATCTGCGATCTGTGATGTGAATGGATTGCTGTATGATTCTACGGTGACTGAGCATAGTAGTGCACTCACCGGAGGAGGAAGAGGAGGAGGAGGAGGAGCCTGCAGAGGAGGATCGGCGGCGAGCTGGAGGCGGTGAGCATGGCGAGTCCTGCGGCTCATCGGGGTCAGAGACCGCGCCGCGGCCACGTACTCCATCGCCGAATCCGATCACCGCACCACGACGGACGTCGGGCCGGCCTCGTCGCAGCAGCTAGGCACGTAGGTAGGGTGCAAGTATTTCGTCACTGTTGGAGTGCATGCGCGTGAAGAGAGAGGCCGGCGCCGAAGAAGAAGAAATGAGCAAGGAGGAAGGAGAGGGTCAGAAAGTGGGTTTGGATGTTGGTGGTGTCGGCCGCGGGTCCGCGTACGTATGGTATGTAACCGCAACACGCACGCACGGCGGAGCCATGGTCGCTTTCACTCTCCATTGCCATTGGTGAGTGAGCGAGCGAGTTGGTTGGTCAGGTGGCGGTGGATGGATGGATGGAGACGGTCTGCTCTTGTGCTTATCTTGCCTTGTAATCCAACAAACAAGAAGAAGAATGGCCTGCTGTCCTACATACAACAACAACAACGCCACACCTACATGGATGGAGGGTTGGACTGGATGAGTAGTAGTGTGAGTGAAGGTTTAGCAAGGGTTTGTAGTGCATACGGCTGGTAGCCACTCGGGCCAGTCGGTTCGACGACGGCGACGCCTCGCCATTTTTACGACTTATCAATGGCCGGCCCACCCTCTTGATATGTTACCTTTCTCGTAAGCTGGATGGTCATATTTATATATGAACCGTCGAGTCCACACACTTGTTGTGATTACCTAAATTCCCATTAATAAATTAATTATGATTTCTGTGTTTTTCATATAGATAAATCACGACAAACAAACTATGATATAAGATGCCACTATTTCCCTCCTTCTAAAGTAGCAACTTATACGGCATAATCGCAAGGCGACTAGGGCAAAGCCTTCCTGCCATCAAACTCCGTCGACGTGCCCATGGATTCGCCTCTCTTCTACCTACCGCTCCAACTGCCAGTAGCGGGAGTGAAATTCTGGTATCTCGGCTCCGGCTATAGCTAGCAGATAGTTCTAAGTTTTAGTCCTCGTGGGGGCGGTGCTCGGGTGTATGACGGGGATTTTTCCTCGAGCATGTCTGCCGGGCTGGATTAGACAGCGCTCCGGAGTAGATTTGTGCCAGCGCCTCCGAACGATGAGGTTAGGGTTTCTTGTCGTGCATATGTCATGGAAACATTTGGTGTCAGGTTCTTCGGAATGATTCGAGGGTTCAAGGCGATGACTGTGACTCTATGGCGTTGGTCCTTAAGGGCACACTCACATAGACTTCCTTAGTGTCATCGGTAAGGTCGGGCCGGCTCCGGTATGTGAGTGGCCTCATCGTCGCCTTGTCCTCTTGTTTTGGCAGCATTGGTGGTTTAGGAACCTTGATGTAATTTTTATTATGCCAGATGTGCTTTGTAATTCTGACGAACCTTCATAATATAGATAGAAGCTTT